AATATTGATAAAGTTTACCTTTATGTACAGAATCTGAATATCGCAAAATATTTTTAAAAATTGCAATAATATCATATCGTGCGTTAAGTATTGTGATAATATCGTATCGTGGGATGTCTGGTGATTCCCACCTCTAATGGTTACCACTGCCTGCTTAAGTTCAAACTGAGCAGAATGTGGGAGAAAGAGCGATTAAAGGACTTTGAATGGGACATGCTTGTTGGTGCTGCTCTGAGCATTTCATAAACTGCTGATCTGCTGTGATTTCCCCCCCACAAACATCTCTAACATCTTTTGATAGCTGCTTTCAGTAAAATAACATATCAGGTGATACAGCTCCAATCAAACTGGTTTTCTAAACATGACAGTAAGTAACATCCAAGCAATAGCATTCAAATGGCCTCCAGAGTCCAATAGGGAAACCTGGGTATGTGGCAGCAACCTTATGATCCTGTCATGTCACTATAGACCAAAATCAGCAAGGAATGTTTCCAGCACCTTGTTGAATCAATGCCACAAAAATGAAGGCATCTCTGAAGCAAGGTGCCCCTAATAAAATGGCTGGGATGCTCACAGTCAAAGTTTCAAATCATGAGGTCATCTTACGTAGCCTTAACTCATGAACCCAAAACCCAGACCTCCCACTGCTATAAATGCTCAGTTTCAGCGCTTTTGTTGTGTTTTTTTACTTTGCGTATGTATGTTGCCCGTGAATGTGACTATGCTAATATGGTAATCTGACTTCTGTTTAGATCTTTTGTTTGCAAGAGGCAGGAAGCAGTAAGTAAGATAAAACTGCTTGTATCAGCCAGAGATGAACTGGAATCGATGGCCAGCATGACATAAATAAGGATTACTGTGAAATATGAGTCATTCGAGCATCGCCCAAGAATAAGAATAAAGAGCTGAAACAAAAACTCACTTGTCCCCGAATGACCTTCTCCAGAATTCAGCAGCATCAGCTTTGGTAATCCTGAAGTTGTCACCCTGAAATAGGCCATTGGGGAAGATGGCTTTCAACTCCGCTAGCATGTGACTGAAGATCAGAGACAGCTTGGTAAGGTTTCGCCTAAGTGAGAGAAAAGGAAGAGAGACAATGAAAGGAAACCGTAGCAACAAGTTAGTTACAGGTATCATCAGCCTAATGTCTTTAGTATTCTATAACGCCATGTTCGGTTTTAAATAAAAAGGGGAAGTTACACTTGCATGCACACAGAAATAGAAGTTTTCAGCAGCCAGACACTTTCGAGTACAAAACAATCAGGCGGAATCAAAGATGGTACCACTCGTCTCGTACATTTCCCTCTCCTCTGGCACATTTTATGGATCTACAGTTAATTTTTTTTCCTCTTTCTCAACAAACACAATAGTCAACTGGACATTTTCTTCTTCGCTTTTTTCTTTTTCTGCTGTTGAAACAACTGGTGTTATTTTGTTAAATGCATATAAAGCACTTTCTGTAAAATTACTTGTGGCCGGCTGCACCACCTCCCAGACAAACTAAACCCACTCCTGACAACTCAAGTGTCAAATTTATAAAAAATATGTCCACTTAGAGCTGAAATGATGAACATAACTGCAGAAGAAGGGAAGCAATGTTGAAAATTGACTTTTACACATGTGTTTGCTTTACATTTGAAGATAACTGGTTTGAGCAGTCTACACGAAACGCTACTTTTCAGAGGAAGTGAGTCCACCCTCATTGGGGTTGAACATAACCAGTGCGGGTGCATAATCTAGTCCAAACTTGTTTTGCTTTTTTAAACAATAAATCAGTTTAAAAGGAGGCACAAGGTGACACATGACAAAAAACTGAACCAAAAGTCGCAGACGCATACTGAGCACACAGCCAGTTGGGCAACGACTTTTTAAAAAATATATATATATTTATGACATCGTCTGAGCATGACTTCAGCTTTGAAGGTTCAATTAAAAGGCTTTCCGATGACCTATACATGCATTTGCTAATGCCAACACAGCTGTTTGTGTAGAACATCTTACACTTGATAAAAATTCAGTGCGTAAAAGGAAGGATGAACTTTTGCTTAGCAAAGACTTTCTGAGAAGCAGAGGAAGTACACATGATTGCGAAAGTGCAATCACTTCCCTATAAAGTTCACTTTGCTTCATATGGTTTGATTTAATCGCAGCGATGGAAACTTGTAAGAACATTTCGAGAAAAAAGACAAACTTTTTCAATACTTCAAATTAATATTTACAAAAAGATTGCAGGTTTAATGTTATAGAGCTTAAATGACATCAGCAATTCCAGTAGTTTTCTGGTCATTTTAAATGCACAGAGTTAGAGATGTTCACAAATGACTCCACAACAGCGCAAGCATGCTGCTTTTTTATCTTTTTAATCATCTGATGGGAAAAAAAAAAATAGCACACAAAAAATCTCATATTAGTTGTATTTCTTGGGTAGTTTGGAAGGTTTTCATTAAGAACCCATTTTTTATTTTGGTTAAAATAAAATAAAAATAAAAAAGTCAGCCAATGCTGACAGCAGACCTTCAGACAAAGGTGGCCCATTAGTGAAGCTTTTATTCTATTTAGGTAACAATCTTTATTAATGTGATCATCAACATCTGTGCTTTCCAACTATTTCATGTCAAAACAGATACTGTGAAAAAGCTCAGTTCTGTGCTCCATAGGACAGAGACGGTCTCGAATTATCGTACCACCATGAGCTTAAGGGATTATTTTATTGATAGGAAGCCAAGAAAAACAACGATTAGCTCTTTAGCTGTGCCATGATTCAGATACTCCCTGCTTCACAGCTTTTCCATCCTGGCTTTCTGCTGGTGCAATATTCCGTTTCCCCCACAAAGACAAATCATGTTTTGTCCGGATATAACGTGCGCCTACCTGGGCTGGGAGTTCTCCTCGTACATCCTCTCCTTGGCCTCCTTAAAAAGGCTCATGGTCTGCTTCGTCTTGTTCGTCAAGTTGTCGATGACCACGCGGAAATACTCATTCTCGCCGAGGATCTCTATTTTGCCCTCATACCTGGACAGAATGGTGCGTAAATGCTGGTAGGTATCCGGCAAAAGGTCCAGGATGTAGGGCGGGCTGTTCTTCAACGCCACCTTGGGGTTCTGGCACAGACGTACCACCTGGACAGAGAACGCAACGGCTCAGAGATTTTTTTTTTTTTTTTTTAACTTGCAAACAACGAAAAAACAAAAAACAATAAAACAAACAGGATTAAAACCTTTAGCTGTGGCAATGCGAGATGCTGCAATGTGCATGTTTCACAAAGTTTGTCTAAGTATGGTACTGGAGAAAAGCCTGAGGTCATTTAAATACAGGACTAACCAGTTTAATACTCAGGGCACTTAAAGAGACCTCCCAGATTTCGTGACAGTTTTCCAGCTAGATCATCAGCTATCGCACGCAAGTTTGGATATGGATGTGTCTATAAATTTTAAGCTCATAAAACTGGGTCACGATTTTTGCAATGTGATGTTACTGGACAAAATTGCCATTCTTACAGATGTCATGGTTTGAAGTTTCAGCCAATATTTCCTAATGTTTAGGATGATAATGTTCTTGATAAAGTCTTTTCGGTAATCGGAGAATAATGCGGCACAAGCTGTAGATCAAAGTTTGACCAGGAACTGTTTCTTTAATCTGTGACGGACATTTACTACCCATCTAATCACCTGACAACTAAGGTTACTTATCAAATCGCACTCAATTATGCTCCCATACCCACCAAATAACTTCCAATATATTGTGACCATAAACATGAAATGGCTCATAGTACAATAACACGTTGAATACCTAAAATTTGCATCAACTTCACCAGAAACTTTTACCTGTCACTATTCATTTAAGTGCATATTTTCCCCACATTGCTGTGGACCAACTGTGCATGCAAGTAGGGTTTTGTTTCTTTTTTGCATACATTTGCACACTCACTCTTTATATCAGATCCAGCCCTTCCCCCAAACCCTCGGATTCCTCATTTTGCTACTTTGATGGCAATGTATTCCCACAATACAACTTTACAGCAAGGCAGTAAAAATTTTCAGCACCCAGCCCTGAAGCATACCACCCAGGTGTGAAAGCTTTTGACCTCAAACGTGCCATTTACAAGCACAGGTGTAAATGAGTCTGCACAGAACACTGCACATGCATGCCATGGTTCACTCTCTATTATCTGATGCACTGTTACTTCCTACATCAGCTCACTTGCATTAATATCTTGTGAGCTCTTGTCTCACCATCTCTCTGCACTTCCCGCTCATCTGATTTAGTTATAGCCAACTGCAAAAGAAAGTAAATAGGCTGCAATGACTATAGAGAACCTTGCCTTGCCCCTGCAACATGTACACCTCTTCTTATCCAATACTAAATATAGGGTGTCCTCTTAGGGATATGAATGTGACCTAATTCAGGAGAAATGACCCCAATTAGACAATCAGACACCACTGTACTCCAGTTTTAGGCTTCAGGTTTAGACTGCTTTAAAGGTTATTGTTTAAAATTTAAGCCAAAGCACCTTCCTGTGTGGATGCCCTGGAGGTTATTCATGTCATGCAAAGGGAATTAGTGATGATTCAATATAACCGCAGGTTCACGCTAAGTGAAGGAGCATATGGAAAAGTTGAGCTAAATCTTTTTTCAATATGTGAGAAAAGAAAATCAGTTAAAGTGGCCTTGCATTTGTCTCTGATGTCGAGTTACAGACAAAAAGAAAAAAAAGTCAAGTAAGAAGTTTTTCGTTTACTGTTTCAAACCCCTTTCTTGTAAAGGATTTATTACCGGAAAACCACTGTCAGTACCTTATCCATGAGTTTCCAGCATTTTTCCACCATTTTCTTGTCGACCACTGCGGGCTGGTGAGGCTGGAGAGCTTGCTGGTGAGGCTGAAAGGCGTCCTTCATCAAGCCGATGAGACCGGCGCCCCTTCTCGGATTTCCGGCCATTAATTCGGTCGGTGACCGGGGGTTAGCCCGGGGCTGGGGGTGGGTGGCTGACAACCGGAGATCAGTTCTTGACACGTTTTCAAACAAAACGATCGCTGTCTTCGTGCCCTGCCTGCACTCAACACTGGTAATAATTTGTCATGCAGAGGCTGTCCATGAGCAGAACAAAAAAGGCAGTGTGTACACTGTACGCGATGCAGCTAGCTAACAAGCTACATTTGAAAAGCCACTCAGTTTGATTCCGAGCTCAGGACATGCTCACCGTGTTGCTTAATCTGTCCTCAAAAATAGACCTACCGCCTCCCGGCGACGGCAAGTCAAATCTCCCCCTGAGAAATCAGCCCGGCTTATTATAAACTCGGGGCGTTAATAAGCCACACAGCGCGATTAACAAACAGGTTGAGAAGCGGATCCAGCCAACAGCAAGCCAGCAGCTAAAGTAAACAAGGATGTCCGGCCGTACCTTCAAAGTAAAAGCACGGTCAACAAACACGCAGAACCTGGGAAAATTAAAACTGGCTTAACGTAAATTACCTGTGATAGAGCCAAATAGCCAAAGTTATAATAATTAACTGAAACTAAACTAAGAACTAAATCTAAATGTAAAAAAAAATTAACTCAAAAAAACAAAACAAAACTAGACTATGAGTCAACTGCTTTAAAAAAATGTTTTTACTGTAATATTCAGTTCACTATGATATATTAATTTTCCTCAATCTTGCACCCCCCATATGCTTTCCACATAATACTAATTAAAGAGACTGAAACAAAAAAAATACTAAACTACAACTAAACATTTTTAGAAAAATAAAAAGCAAAAACGAAACAAGAAAAAATTGAAAATATAAATCAATTATAACTCTGCTAACAGCTAAAATAGCATTTAAGTTAAGCTGCTGTTTCAAGTAAATTGCCATTTATTCAAAATCTTTAAAAAATACTGAGCTTACAAGTGATTTCAAAGGACTCATGAGCTGCAAAAAGAAACCCATAACTTTAACTGCTTTCTTTTAAAAATGTATTATTTAGTAAAGTAATCTCTCCAGTGACAATTCATTTCCCCCAACATGAAAAATGTTATTAGAAATTGCTCCAAACCCCAGCAGAAATAACACTCTATTCAGGAAATACAGAAGACAATAATTCATTTGACCCTGGCTTTTTATTGAAAAGTTCTCTCTTTTACAATATAATTTATTTTTTCCTTTAAATATCACAAAGTAAATCACTAAGCAGCAGCGGCACTACCAATCCCTCTACATCCTGAACACAGTAACAATAAAGGTTTTGTCTTCATGTTTGTAGTCCTTAATCAAATTCATATGTTGCCAGCTGGATGAACCGGAGACGTGTTGTGAATACAGACATCTGTGACCACTGAAGCTAAATGTGTGGATAACGGCAGCAACCTCAAAAACACATTTAGAGAACTGAAAAATAAAAGCTTTGACACCATTGCACATTTCCTGTTTCTTTTAAATAGACAATGACTTCAAGAAGAATGACTTGAACACAAAAACTTTGTAAAGGCAGTCAGTTTTGAGTGTGCGGGCCACATCCTGTTTGTAGTTCTCACTCTGTGTCTGAGAACTCATCGGGAACTGGACAAACTGGGTTTCCGAACAATGACTCGCAGCCACTGCTGATTCAACAAAGCCAGATATTAAAGGGCAGCTGCTGCACATGATTGTTTCAGGTGACAGATCTTTTGATTCACTTTTGAAATCAGATTTGTTTTTGTCATACTTTACTGTTAAATGTTTATCTTAACAATTACAACTGCAGTTCTGAAGGAGAAAAAAAAAGCTTCAATCCCAACAAGTATATAATTCTCTATTCAGCTTGTCATCAAAGATTTGTCCTTATCATCACAACGTCAAAGATTAGGTTTGTGTCAGTCTCTCTCTACACACACACACACATATTTATATGTGTCAATAAAAGCTTCCACTTTTAAACATCTGTAATTTGAGACCGTCTATTTCCAAGAATGACAGAGACAGAAATGCAATTCAGTGCAACAATTCACTTTAAAGGCCATATTTAAAATTATTTTGACACAATAAAAATAATCAAGCTTACTAAATTATTATTATTAAGGTATCTACTCTGGCCATACCATTCACCAGATTTGAACCATTAAAGAGATGTGTAAGGCTGTGCTCTCCATCATCCAAACACTAAATAAGTGTGTATGTATATTTTCTCTCCATTTGTCATAAAACAAAAAGAAAATTGAAGTTTGTGGTGGAATAAAATAATGACATTGCAGCTATTTTAAAACAATTTCTCCCCAACATTTTTTCCAAAGCAATTTGACTTCAGCTTGGCTTCGCAGCACAGCAGATGTTCAACTAATTAATGCACACAAGCCTCGTGAGCACTGCTCACTGTTTGGGGAGCTGGCACAGATCCAGCAAACAAGCCCTAGGGTGCCTAAAGGACACATCTTCACAGTTTAAGACAAGTCCAAGTGATTTAGATTGCAGCTCCCTCTGGATCCATCAAATTAGATTAAACCGGAGAGCCTTGGAAGTTCAAGGCGATATTCAACAGCTGGGCTCCGAGGTCTGCCTGCTGCCCTCCAGGCAGGAACTCTGCAGATAGCTCTCTGTAGGTGCTGCAGACTCTACGTATATGAAGGTCCTTCCTGTGAATGGCGTGTTTCCATATATGCCGTGCCTCGCCGTATAAAACTACTAAACATCTGCGAGGAAGGTGCACAGCTACATGGACCTCCCCTGTTAGTCCCAGCTCTGGTAGGCCCAGCTCCAGAGACATGGTGAGTGTAGTGTCTGACAACATGTTAATGGTGACTAAACGCTCCCCCCATAGCCAAGAATCGTCTAAGTGTGGATCAATGGCTGCACCTCGCTCAGGATGATAATCCAAGTTGCACTGCTCCACTGGCTGGAAGCCAGCTAGAGTTGATTCCTGACACATCCGAAGCACAAGTTTATGGCTCAAAGCAGGGAGTCCACTGAAGCCACCCACACGCACTTTCTTTTTCTTGAAGTTCACCTTCGGGCCAAAGTCCTGCAACAATATTGGAGGAGGCTTTTGGTCACTCCATTACTATATATATATATAT